GGGAAAGAAGTATCTGAAATTTTAAACTTCTTGACTCTGGACTAACCTTCCAGAAAAAGTGGGTTGATATCCCATCTCTAAAAATGTTTAAAACTATGCTGGACAAAAACATGGAGATCTACAATTGAAAACTGGCTTTGACTGGCAAAAAGAAATGGACCATTTCTAACTTCGATGAGTCTGTTCAATCCATAATAATGTTGAGTCATCCAGTATCTGATTTTCGGCATTTGATTATTCCTCTTCACATTTGTCTAATTTCCTCCCACCCATCTATCTCTTTCTCTAGCCCCTTAAGTGCCAACATTCAAACTGAAGTGATTTTCTTTTTTTTCCAGAGCAGAATCAAATGAATCAAACTGAAAATGATAAGCCACATAGTGGCCATGAGGAAAAGAAACAGTTATTCCTTCCCAATTGGAAAGTGAGTATTTTTGCGTCGTAAAAGTGATCTGTTATATTGTTTACTTTTGTTTACCCTTAACCTTTTTTGCCAAAATTGGCTAAGTGCTTCTACAACACCTAATTATTGTCTGTTGAAAAGCTCTGTAATTTATAAAAATGCTATCAAAATAAAAGAGCAACATAGGTCGCTCTTTTATAGAACGTGTCCTTCAAGATCTGCACAATGTTTACACTCTTTTTCTGATTCACAAAAGTACATTTGAACTTGAAAAAAGTTCTGTAGTAGAAAAGATCTAGAACTCAGAAGTCACCATTTAAAGCTCAGTATTTTGGGGCATATGTAAGATATTTGAGTTATTTCCCTTTATACTGAGGAAATCAATTCTGGCAAGTGTATAGTGTAAGTTGGCAGATGTTGACTTCTGAACAGCCATCAATGTAATGGTGTATTTAGCCTTTATTTATAAGATGTTGTTTGCCTATTATAATCTACATTACAATTTTACTTTTAACCATTATTGTACTTCAACACACCTAATGCACTGCATAAAAGAGACTTGCAAATACATTTAGTTAATAAAGGGGAAATTTTTCAAAAGCACATTTGGAAAGTGAGGTACTTGACTTTCAGTGAAAGCCAAAAATATTTGGCTGCCTACCTTCTCTTTGTGCCTCAAAACAACCTCTCCTTCTTAATGGCCATCAGTCTTAATGAAACCTGAGTGGAAAGCAGCATTCTCTCACAGTGCTTGCCAAAAGAAATTGTACTGAACCAAAAAGTCATTCAGACAAACCAAGAAGTCATTCTTTTCAGTCACGTTCCCAGCTGGATCATTCTACCTGCAATACTTTCAGAGAAATGCAGTCTCATTAATGCTGCTTTGTAATCAAATCCAATCCAAAAGTATGTATGTAAGGTTCTCATGTAAGGTATGTAAGGTCCTCAACATTTCTCATGAGTTGTATACTATGTACAATGGCATGCAGTGTAACATATTCAGAGACTGCACACAAAATGTATGTAATGGTATATATGTGATGCTGAGAAAGCAGCATGTTTTTAGCATTTAATGGCTTTTTAGGAGAGTGTCCTAACAACAGCCTGGACACCTAGTAGTCATCTACAAGTGCTTAGTCTTATACCAGAGGCATAACTGGCTAGTACTCTGCCCTGGGCAGTGGCAGCACATGGTGCAGAGGCACCATCCTGAGGCTTGCTGCTGTTGCAGGTGTAGTGGGGAGGAGGGTGCAACATGTGTGTCTAGTGAACAAAAAAACTCTGATTTTCAGTGGCAAAATAAGAGGTGACATTTCCCAGTTCCACCCCCCACCTCTACAGCAGGAAACTTCCAACCATTCATTCCTCTTGCA